CGAGACCCGTAAATTTACATGCAGGGCTTTTACTGGAACTGACCTTGAGACATTAGGACCTACTGAAAATTAGAACGAGAGCCGACATAAACACTAGTTCTAAGATCTTAAGAGTTTTAAATTGGCTGCTGGACACAAAATTGCTTAGTGAAGATTATGCGCTACATGCTGAGCTGGCATCCACAATATTGAAAAATTATTAATGTTAAAAATAAAATTGTAGTGCTTAAAGGTTTAGTATCACTGTTCCACAATTTAAGATGAATAAATTGAAATTGAAAGATTGATTCCACCAGATTCCACAATTATTCCCCTCTTCAATATGCTGATGAGTATGAAAATGAAATTTTTCCATCATCTTACAATGTTTCCACTTGATAATTAAATTAATTTGATTTTTTTCCATCCAATTTGATTTGAAATTTCCCTCGAATTTTATTGCAATAAATATTTTAATTTGTCAAACTCTCAATGATTGAATTTGATCCTGTTATGTAGTTATAGATGAATATGGTATAGAATGTTTCAAATTGATTTAATTTATCAATTCTAATTCAACGTGATTGTTGATGCGATTAAAAAAAACAAAGAAAAAATTATATAACAGAAATAATTTCATGTCTCTGCAAAACAGCCACAACCACAAAATGTTTTCTCCCTAAAATTTTTTCAATTTCTAATTTCTTTAATGTAAAGAACTGAAATAAATTTGATAGAAAATTTTCATTATTAGAATCGATATGGATGCCATGTGTGTCATGAAATCTAATTTAAAAATGTCGAGACAGAAATTTTATTGAACAATGTGGTGTGAGGTAAAGGAAAATTTGTCATAATCAGAGCATGTTTTCAGTTCATATGAAGATAGACAGTCTGAATTATTTATCGGAAAAATTTATTTGTAAAATTGAAAATATCAATAGGAAATTGATACTTTTCTGCTTATTGTCTAACAAATTTTACTTGTCAAATTTTGTGACTACTGATAAATGTTTTTGAAAACTATAGAAGCTCATGTCACAGTCATCGTTAGCAATTTTTTTTGTTTTGTGGCTTTTGAAAGGAGTTCAAATATGACAATAATTTGATATTTAGAGAATTTAGAAATGTTCCTGTAATTAATAGCATTGATGTTTATGAAGTTTTTTTGCAGAATTTTTCATTTTACTGTTTATAAAATTCGTTTGTTTGATGTATTTGATGTTATGTGAGAATATTGAAAACTACTTTTAAACATTTGATTGCTTGCAGAATGACAAGCTCAATGATGAATCATAGACATTTTGTGAGAGATTAAAGCTTTAGATCTTTAACAATCTTTTAATGTTAAAGTTATTAAGTATTTGTTACAGTTTCCTAGAAAACTTGTAAAAGATGCTTATCTGTCTGTCTGCCAATCAAAATTCGAAGTTTCGTACCTTGCAATTCGCAATTTTCGAAAATTCGGAAACATGAAAACTTGAATTGAGCAAGTTTTACATGAAATTTAGACGAAAAGATTATTTAATCAACTATAAATAAACATAAATTAGCTTAAACTTTCATAAAATTATCCAAAACTTTATAATAAAAATTGTAACGTTTTTTTGAAATTTAAATTTATTCGAAATTGCATATTTTAACACCCCTAGACTTTCGATAAATCTGTCGAACATGAATTGTTCAAACCAGATTCAAATATAATGAATAGCTTATCGAACAATTAAATTGAATTTTAAATCAAAATCAAATTAAATTTCAAGAAAATTAAGAGCAAAAATTCAATATTTTCATAGACAAATTTACATTAAGCTAAATAACTTTTCAATTCTTTTCATTTCACTTCAAAAGATATTTTCTACATAAAACCTTAATACCAGAGGTCGAAGCGAGCATAGCGAAGCGAGTTTTTAGCGAGCTCGCTTCGCTAAAAATTCAGCTTGCTAAAGTTGACCTGTAGCGAGAATTTTTTTTTTCTTTTCGCCTTAGCGAACTATAGCGAACTCAATTTTATTTTTTTCGCTTTAGCGAACTATTAGCGAACTTAATTTTTCAAAGTTCGCTATAGCGAACTATTGGCGAACTAGAAAAATTTTTTTGGCTTCATATTAAGAGATGTCTGATTGCGTTTGTGAAGTATGTAATTTCATACAAAATTGCAAAAAATTATAGTTCGCCAATAGTTCGCTATAGCGAACTTTGAAAAATTAAGTTCGCTAATAGTTCGCTAAAGCGAAAAAAATAAAATTGAGTTCGCTATGGTTCGCTAAGGCGAATAGAAAAAAAATTTTCTCGCTACAGTTCGACTTTGGCAAGTTGAATTTTTAGCGAAGCGAACTTGGTTCGCCAAGTTCGCTTCGACCTCTGCTTAATACCTCTGTATATATGTATACATGTATGTACAATATGTGAAGAAAATGAAATAGAATAAAAAGTTCCTTTGCATTTTCTTCTTCTTCTTACTTTAAAACCAGCTTACAGCAATCATGAAATATGCTAATTTTATGAGCTTTTCATTCTCGGTTGGGAATGAGGAAGTGGGAGAGAGAGAGAAATGAAAAAGAAAAACAAAACCAAATGAAATTATACAGGAATAACATTTATTCAGACTCATATATATAAACACATGGAAGGCAGAAGTAAAAAGAATAAAGAAAGATCCTTTTTTCATATGGAAAATTTTGTAAGCTTACAAGGGAAAGCTGGCACTGCCGTAGTAGCAGTTGGCTTTAGTAAGTCCAAAAGTTGTTATGAAAAATTAACAAAGTTAATTCTAAACTGACACAAAGTGACAGAAAAGGGTCCTTTCAGGGATTTTTTTCCTTTGTCTTCCTTCCTCATCCCACAATAAAATAAAATAAAAATAAAGTGAAATAAATTTTGCCTCTTTTTCCATTCTTCATGTTCCTTTATTAGATTCACACACAGTTTTAAGTTTGAGTTGTGTTTATATAGAATATGTCAAAGGACTTTTCTCCTCATCTAAGAGCATTTGCTGACTGAGACGGGTAACCCTTTTTATTTTCATTCTTTCTTTTATTTGCCTGCTTCTTATGCATACAAAACCATAATAATAATAAAAGGAAGAAAAGTAAGCTTTTCAGCATAGAAATAAAGTCAAGCCTTTTGCAACTGCCTCTTTTTGCCCTTTTTGGCTTTTATACTCACTTTCTATTTACACATTCTTACTCGAATCAACAAAATTGTTGTGAAAGTCCAAATCTGAACATAATGACCAAAAAATTGGACACAAAAGGTTTTATGGTTACACAAAAGAATTCAAATTCAGTGGTCGATTATTAGCATTTCAATAAATTAGAATATCACTTTTATACTGTTTTATATATTTTCTGTCCTTTCTCAAACTTTGCAATTTACTTATCGTATTTGTTCTTTGTTACTTCCTTCTATGGATATATCCCAGATAATAAACTTTGACTCTGAGTTTCTAGTTATTGGGTCTTGTAATAAAGTTTGCAAGAAGATTATAGAAAATTTTCAAATAATAGTCAACGCATGGCTGGAAGAGGCTTTGATTCGATAAAGTTTTTGCAACATTAATAGAGTGGGAAGTAAAATCTTGGAGATTTTATACGTTCTGATTTTGTAAATCGTCTAATATTTGAATGACTTTACGATAATTTGTTTTTCATGCTTCTCTTAAAACTATTTTAAGTCCAGCATCCATGGTATCAAAGGATATTAGTTGAAGATCTAGATTAGTGTTGTGCAATCTTTTTGAGCCGCGGCAAACCTTAGAGGTAAGTCATAACCGAAGTCGCACAAATCATGCGGCTCGTATTATTTCAAAAAAATTTATGGCACACATTTTGAACAACACTTATCTTGACCGATTATCAATTAAGTGAACACAAAATTAAAGAGCTACTGAACTACTAGATTAAGCAAAGCTTTAAAGAAGAATAAGCTCCTTCTGATCATTTTATTTTCTGATCCGAACAATTCCAACATTTTGATCACTACAGTTTTTAAGAAAACTTGTGAAAATATCTTATTTGTCTGGCTGCATCAAAAAATTCGAAATTTCACACCCTGATTTCGAAAATTCAGAAAAAATCAAAACTTAAATTAAATTAGTTTTCCCTGAAATTGTGGTGATAATATTATGTAATCAGTCACAAAAAGCTCTAGAAATACCACTAAAACATGTAACGATTTTTTGAAATTTGAATTTTTCGAGTGTGTATATTATTACACCTCTAGACTTTCGATAAGTCTGTCGAACATGAATTGTTCGTATCAGATCATTTTTAAATATTTTTGGTTTTTTCCTCAAAAATCAACAGAAAGTTTCTAAAACTGTAAGAGTTATGACCCCAAAAATCATCACTTTAATACACCTCCACATGAACTCAACTATCAACTGGGTTGTAAGCTACAGAAACTTTCGTCCATTATTTAAAATCCCCGAATCAAATAAATCCGATTTAAAATTCAGATTCAATGTGTGTATTTAATGCTTTGATCTGATATAAATTCAAATTTGATGTAAATAAGATGTTTAAAAAAATCTCCATTTTGCATCGGATATAATTGACGACTTTAAAGCACTCTCTTGCAGAATAAATGAAAAAATGAAACATCAAGATTTCATAACAAGATGATGAGAAGCTTTCGTATGAAAATAATTTCCGGAAAATCTTACTTTATGAACAAACTTGGGTTAAACAAGAGAGGATTAAAAATATGAATATGAAAAATTTTGCATACGAAAAAAGCTTCTTTAATCTTTAAATTAATTTTTTTTAAACTTATTTCCATGCATAAATTTTTAATTAGACGTGGTGAAATGTTTTGCATGAAGCTTTTTATGCAGAATTTTAAATTATTTCTTGTTAAGCTTTAAATCTGCTTTCGAAATTTTAATCAAGACAATTTTAAAGGATTTAGATTTGAAATGTTAGGTTTCGTTTAATTGCCATTCTTGAAATATCAGAAACAAAACAGAATAGCTTCAGATAGCTGAAAATGGCTCGTCTTTTTCAGAAATTAATTCAAGAAATTAAAAATTATTTTCATGAATCAAAACTTTTATTTCACAATCACATCAACAACTTAATCTCTTGGTTCACAAAATGATTCACTTTGATTGACAACAATCAAAGCACTTCTATCAAAATACTTGTCGATTAATTCATTGACATGAGCTGAAACAGACTCGTCAAGTTGAGGTGTGGCTGAGAGAATCCATGCAAATTGAATAGATTTATTTCCAGGTATATTTCCACAAGTGTAGACGACTGAATATTTTTCATAGTCCGTGGAGAGAACCCAATAGTTTGACTTTGTTATTGCTGAAGTAAAATAAAATACCTGATTAATAAATTTGATTTAAATCGAAGATCTGAAGAATTGACTTACGTTGATCATTAAAAGCGACATTTAATTTTCCTTCCAAAGGCAAATGTTCTGGAAAGCTCACAATAGCTTTTCCAATTGCACACTCATTGCCTTCAGGTTTCTTACAACAATTGTGTACTTTGACAGTGTTATCAGTATTGAGTGTGTAGGTAGCTCGTGAGCATTCACACCCTTTTTGGAACATTGCATTATATCGATAAACTTCGTACCATTTATGAGAGATGTACTGTGGAACAGAAAAAATAATTTTTTTTAAATATGTTAATTAACTTTTTTGAGAGACATTAGAGATTGAAAGATCAACTTCGTTTAGGCTAGCCATTGATTTGTATTTACTGCCTTACTAATAATATTGACCTTTTTAATCTATTTTTCTAATTTAATTGCTATAGAACTATAAATACCTTCGTGAGATCGAAATCCTGTTGAACTGGTCTATCAGGACAAGGACTGTCGAAGAACTGTTGTGCAGATATTAAGCTGATGCTCAATAAAACAAATAAAAATTGATACATTTTTAAAAATAAAGTTTTAGAACCTTCGATGTGTTATTCACGGCGTATGGCTTCAAACTAAAATGATAGTTTTCAAGCTCTCTTTTTTATATTCAATTTTTTGTCATCTCATGCTCAGTATTATCAAAAAACGTGTGTGATCAAAGTTCACTTAATAGAGGATGATTCATAATTTCTTCATTTTTTATGAGTGTGTAAACAAGTTTATTGGCAAAATAAGATTATTTTAGAACCAGAAACTTCAAAGCAAATAATGTTCTGAAAGGTATGAAATAAACTCTTGTGGTTTTGTTTACTTAGGGGCCGTTCACTTATTAAGTAACGCTTTTAGGGGGGAGGGGGGTCTAAGATTTTGTTACGGTTCAAACAAAAGAAATTCTTTTTCATACAAATATTGTTACGAGGGGGGAGGGGAGGGGTCTAAAAAGTCGTTTTTTCGCGTTACGTAATAACTGCACGGCTCCTTATTACGTTAGTTTCTAGCGTGGTCTAGAATTTCATAACAGCTCAAAAAAAGAAAACATCAAGAGAAGAGAGACAGGGAGGGGGGGGGGGGTAGGGTTGAAGACTCGCTTAACGTAATAAATAATCGTGTAGATCAATTGTTGTTGCTCTTTTTTTATGATTGATTTCAATTAATAGAGCATGTTCAATTTTTGCTATTTAAAATTATTTTTGTGCCGAGATCATGATTTGTAATTGATCTTTTACAGAACTTAATTTAATATAGTTCGCAGTTTAACATTTAATTTTATGACTCTCCACACAGAAAATCAGACATGCTTTAGAAGTTTTTTTTGCTTGACTTCAAAGCATGTGGCGAATGCATGCACAAAACTAAGATCTTAATGAATTTTTGAACGGATTTAAATGAGATAACTTAAGTATTGGTAATCAAAAATGAAGAAGAATCGTGAACAAATAAATTTATTAGTTTGAGTGATTTTCAAGCAAAATCATTCTTGATCGTGTTAAGAGTTTTTCATAAGTATTGTAGACTTAGATCAAACTTAGATTGATTGTAGATGACATTTTTAAATTGATCAACTTTGAGGCGAGAAAAAAAATATAAATTTCAAATTTTTGTTTAAAAATTTACTATAAATATTGTGATGTTATTGAAAACAATTGTTTATTTTTAAGAACGCTCATTAAAAATGGCATCGATCATGACCATTTGCCATCTGATCAAAGTTCTATTTTTTAATAACTTCACTGATGGAACTGGTTTGAAAGATAATAAATTGTTCTAGTTTATTTTTCTTTTCTTTTTAACAACCAGTCTTGATATTATGAATAATTTAAGTTTTTTTGAAGTTCTTATAAAGATTCATGGACACAATTTTACAAAATGACATCCAATAATTATAAGAAGAAGGGATTAAAGGTATTAAACAGTTTATAACAGGGTTGCGATACAGGCACCTGTTCAAAGGTGAGAACCATACAATTACTTGATAATTTGTAAGGTTTTCACTACAAATCCATACAAATTCTAATAAAACCTCACAAATTATCAAGGATTTGTAGGGTTCTCACCTGTGCACAGGTGGTTTAATCGCAACCCTGCTTGTTGAAACCCAATTCAGATATATTTAAAACGTACTATCGAAAGCCTTGTTATAAAAGTCCAAGCTTTGCTCAACATGTTCTTGAAGTAAATCTCGAAAGTGAATGACATCAGAAGAGTTCCTACAAATGGAAAGATTTTAATCCAAGGAAACAAAAGTCTTAAAAAAACTTTATTTTTTCAAAAAGTTGATATAAAACAGAATTTATTTAACAAAATTAATAAAACTTCAATCGCACTATTTGTGCTTTTTGAAAGGAGAATCAAAGAGTAAAATTTTCGCTCTGATACTCAAGACTCCTGACAATTTGATAAAAAACTTTTTTATTTGTAGTTCTACAGAAGAAAAATACTTGATTTAAATTCTTCTGCTTTTGTCATGATAAACTGAAAACTTGTAAACTTTATAGTCGCAAAAGGAAATGCAATAAAAAACGACACCGAAATGGTAGAAAAAAAAGGAGAAAAGTAAGGAAGGAAATTTTATAATAAATTGACATAGAAAAACTTTTACATTAAATTGCTTTTAATGAGGACAAAAGTTTTTCTAAGATTTGCATTGGGAAATTTCCATCTCAATTTGAGAGAAGGAGGAAACATTTTATAACTTTTGGACCTTAATTTTGATTTGAGGACAGCATTAAAAGATTTATGTCCGTTTGTCTATAGTTTATTTACATTTTATAGCTTGTTAGCTGGAGTGCCTAATTTTTCTTCGAGAGGAGTTTTGTGTTTTATCTGTTTTTGGTCTATAAAGTTTATGTGCTAAGTTGAATTCTTTTAGGGATACGAATGAGATTTTTTGGAGTATCGAACAAGTGTTTTGAGTTTAGGCAGCCTTAGAAAGCCTTCAGTAATTGAATAAGTCTTACAGCAAAGTTAATTGACCAAAAAAAAAATTGATATTTTGAGTATATTAAGTTAAGAGTATATTTGAACTATCGGAGTTACTGTTCGATGCATTAAAACACCTAAATTCAATAAAAGAGGTGATTCTGAAAAAGGTTCTGATATCTGAGCGAGACTAGAAACCTTAAAACCCTTCTGAGGTACCAAAAAAATTAGAAAACATAATAAGCAGCAAAAATCCATTAAAAACATCAAAGTTCAAGTTCAACTTAGGGTCAAAACTGACTGCGCTTCTAATACAAGCTTGAAAAATTCAAAAATACTAGATTCTAGTCATTTAATTGCTTTTTAAACTTACATTGGTCACCCATCTCATGGTCCACTTACCATAAGTTCAATAAACGCTTGAAACTCATTTAAATGATTAATATTGCCATCTTTTATTGTTTGCCGTAAAGTAAAACGACATTTAATAGTTCGGTCATAATAAATTCAATTTCATATCACAAAAGATTACATAAAATGATCCCTAAATGCGTCATAATTGCCATTGTTTTTATGATCATCTCTTTTAAAAACTTGTGCCTTGTAAACGGATTTCTTGCTTCAGGATGTTGTTTAAGCACAAAGTTTTCTGTAAATTACCAATGCATATAAATTCAATGATGACGAGGCTAGTAGCTGTAATACTTTCTGTATGATTATGCAAATTACATCTGCAAGTTCACAGTTTACAAAATGTTCTATGCTGTGCACAATGTTTGCATGAATAACAAACTTTATTAAATAACTGCAATAAAAAAAAGAATCGTAGAGAATAATAAACATGCAGAACTGCCTCACATCAGCTCTTTAGGGAGACTATTTCAAGACAATTTCAGGATCGAGAGAAATGTGAGAGACGAGGAAACAAGAAAATTTTAATTAAAATTTTGCAGTTTGTTGTGCAATTACGTAAATGATTTCCACAAAACTCGATTATTATTTATTTTTTGTTTGTTTTCTTTTTGTAGTTAAGGGTTGGATTTATTGATGATTTGGATGAGATTTAAAATTTTTAAAAACGATGTTCTTTATGAAATGGACCCCTTTTCAGGCGTCGATCCAAGTGGATGAAAAATCAACCCCCCACTAATAAAACTTTTAATATCCACTACCCACTCCTTTCCACAAAGTTCATCCCCCCCCCTCCCATTTTTTAACTTATCACAATCCCCAATGTGCACACATCCACTCATTCATACTTCCAATCTGGAGGATGAAAATACAAAATTACAATAAATAGCTTGATTCGTTGCTTCATTCACATAGCTATAAATACATCAATTTCTGATTGCATGTTTCTGTTTATTTATTCAACAAATATTCACACAATATCATGAGACATATAAATGATTTTGCAGCATTGAAAAGGCGTTTTTCAATTTTCAAGCTAAAATGCTAATGAAGCAATTTCCAGAAAACATATTTAGTGTGTGTGTTTGTACAAAATTTGGATTATCATTATGCACACACACTTGTGCTTATGCTTGAAAATCAATTTCATTTATTTTTCGGTGTTTCCTGTGAACAACTAGAATATGTCTCCAATTTAATTAAATTTTTGACATTTTCAGGGATTTTTTTTTTGTTGCGAAATGTTAATTTATGTTTGATTTGATAGACTTTATGTTGTACTGAGATTCAAATTAGAAATCCAGAATAATTATTTTTTTAAAATAATTTCGTTGGAGTGTGATTTTATATTCGACTAGTCTAAGTTTGAGCTGTACTTTGGCATTCTGCGGCTGTCAAATATTTTTGAAAGAAGGAAATCAAAGAGGTGGAAGGAAGCTACCCAGATAGATAGAATTAGATATAGGGTTCGTAATACACAAAAAGGCACTGCGATCATAGATCTGTTGTACCATCTTTTTAGAGTCAGCTATAGAATTCCAATGTCCTTAATAAATCTCACCAAGTCCAAATAACGCTCCTTCCTTATGCTGTCGATATTGACAACATCTTCCTTGAAGTGTTTATGGCAAAAAACACATAATGAATTACAGTCACATAGAATGTGTGCCATGGTCTCCTGAGCTGTACTACAAAACTTACAAAATTTAGAGTTTCTTGTAAGTTTCAAGGTATCATTTAGGTTAGTAGGGCCTAACAGAATTTTAGCTATTAGAGATCCCTTCTCTGAGCACCATATGCGAAAGTGTTGCCTGTTAAGGCACTCACGAATCTCAATACCCAAAACTACATAGAATTCTTGATGGCTTTTCTGCTTGAAGCTTTCAAACGTCGTTTAGCTTCGTTTTCATGACAGACGTATAACTTTACATAAAATTCCTCATTGCTTTAATTTTTTGAACCGTTAAATTAAAATCAGGAAAAAAACATCTTCAAGTCAGCTGGACCAACTGAATTCTCAAGTTTTTCAAACAAAAATGAATAATGTGGAGATTTACAATTACTTAAAAAGAAGGAAATATATTTTTCTTTCATGTTATTGACACAGAAATTTTCATCATCATTATCCTCATCTTTATCATTACTTCTTTCAATCATAATGAAATAGTAGAAATTTTCCATTTTCATCTTCTACAATTTTGATTAAAAATAAGTGAAATTTTCATTTTCCTCCTCACT